TAAACCAACATAGGAGCTTTTCTTCTCAAGAAATTGGGTAGCTGTGAAGTGAACCATTTAGCTATGAGGCTATTTTGCTACCCTCCTCCATCTAATCCTTCCCTACTGCCAATTCTGCTAGCTTCCTTGTGGAGCTGGCCTTGAGCCATGGAAACTCAAGGGCATGGGAAACCCTTCCCCTCCGCGGGATACTATGGTAGCCTCTGCAGCCAGAGAAGATTTGATCACTCCTCATTTTCATTTCTAATCTGTGATAATTTGGAAATACAAAATCTTTTGTTTTTCTAAGGAAACACATCCATTTCAAATCACAGTCCCTTAGGTCTGAGAATAGAATATCACTTAAATTTCTTTTCTGGCCCCCCCCCGATGACTCCTCCCCAAAGAAAACAGTCCTATTATATCTAGCATCTTTTTTATTAGGATATCATTTTTTGTCTTTATATATCCAATGTTTGGCACATAGCAAGTGTTTAATAAATGTTTACTGAAAGAGTAATTGTTCACAATTACTCAAAGAGAAGACGAGAATATTACAAATGGAAAGTCAAAGTTGGTCACTGCATGAAATCAGGGTGAATGGAAGAGTTGGCATTTCTGATCCCATTCCCTCTCCTCCCTCCCATGGGACTATTTGCAAGCTATCTTCAGCTACCAAGATTCAAAAACAGATACTTTGCATTTTCATTTTGTATATGTTTATTTGGTCAGCTAGGTGGCAGAATGGATAGAGCTCTGGAACTATAGTCAGGAAGACTCATTTTCCTGAGTTCAGATCTGGCCTCAGATGCTTACTGGTTGTGACTGGCAAGCCTCAGTTTCCTCATCTGTAAAATGAGTTGGAGAAGGAAATGGTAAACCACTCCGTTATCTTTGCCACGATAACCCCAAATGGTGTCGCAAAGAGTTGGACATGAATGAACAACAATATATTCATATAAGTATGTGTAATCTCCTTTAGTGAAATGGGAGCTGCTTGAAAGCAGGGTATAAGGGTTTTTGGTTCTGGGGGTTTTTTTTGGTATACCCAGAGCCTACCATAGTCAGTAGCATTTATTAAGTGCCTACTATGTGCCAGGCCCTGGGGCTATAAAGAAAGGTAAAAGATAGTCCTAGGGAGCTCATAGTCTAATGAGGGGAACAACATGAAAACAAGTGTGTACAAATAAGATATAAGTGTATAATAAACTGGAGGTAAACAATAGAGGGAAGACATTAGAACTAAGGGAGATCAAGTAGAAGGAAGGATCTAGGTAGGGACTTGCCAGAAGTCAGGGAAACTGGAATGCAGAAATGTGGAAGGAGGGCACTCCCAGTAGGGAGAACAGCCAGTGAAATGTCTTGTTTGAGGAACAGCAAGACCAGTGCCTGGCACACAGTAGGGGCACACACATTGATCTAGACCACAGACTGGTAAACTTTCACTATAGACACAATTTCCATGGAACCATAGGGAAAAACCTCTGCAAATTATTTCACAAATGCCTATTATTAGGGGCATCAAACAGCATATTTCAACACTTCAGAAACACCCAGTCTTGTCAAAGTGGATGCTGTCCACTAACAAGGATCAAACTTCCTCCTTATCTCAGCGGACATTTTAAGGAGTTGTTGTGGTCAAAGAATTCATGACATGTTGACTAGTCCTCTGGTGGCAAGTCTCTTTGCTATGTCATTCCCACATAATTAGCCATGCTATTCATTCCCAGATCCTCTACTCAAAGGCCCTTCAGCTTGGTAGACCCTCTCAAAGCTTGTACTTTACTAGAATATCCCTCAAGAACCCAGGTTTGCCTCCATGCTGTGAGGAGTCATTGGAAGACTTTGTGGCAAAACAATATATAAGCCCAATTTTGTTTTATCTTTAAGAATGTTATTGAGCTTTTCTGCTTTTATGTCAAATTCATTTCCAGATACTTGTCTGCTCTACCACCAAATGAGCCTTCCTTTGTAACAAGGGAAAACAGTTAAGCAAAATCAACTTGCACAGTAGCTATCTGATGAGAGATGAAGCGTTCCATATTTATGGTCTCCCACCTCTCTAACAAAAACAAAAAAAAAGAGGGGGGGACCTGCCTTCTCCAGGGCTACCTTCAGTAATTTTATTCTTTAGCATTCATTCTTTAATGAAATGCTTCCAAATGATCATTTCTTTGTAGAGGTTAGGGACCTTGGGTGTGGAACATTATCTATAATGTCTGACTTTTCCCATATATTGGTTTTCTATACATTGAATTATTTTTTTTCTCTTATTCTCAATTATAAAGGGTGGACCTTTAGACTGGGGAGAAGGGAGGAATATAAAGGGAAATATAAGTGATATAAAAAACAAAAGATATCAACAGCAGTTTTTAAGAATGTTATCATTCCTTTCATTTGCATTAATGTGATAATTAGTGTATGTTGTTCTCCTAGCTCCACTTACTTTGCTTTGCATCAGTTCATACAAGCTTTCCCTTATTCCTATCAATTTATCATACTCACTTCCATAAACTTGCTGTTAATATATATGTGTGTGTGTATATATATATGTATATATATATATATATATATATATGTATATATATATATATATACATATATATTTCATTAAATACTCAAGCTCCTCCAACTTGCTTACAATAGAATAATCCTCAGCACAATGAACCCCTGTTGTCTTTTCTAAGTCCAACCTTTCCATGTATCCCCAGTGCTTAGCATAGTGCCTGGCATATAGTAGGTGCTTAATAAATGATTATTGAGTGACAAGTCACTTAACTTCTGTTTGGTCTCCAATTCCTTACCTAGAAAATGAAGGGGTCAAGGCCTCTGAACTCACTTTCAGCTCTGAATCTATGACTTGACAATCAGGAAGCTTGGTTGGACAAAGGACTTTTTTTTCTGATGTACAAATAGGACAGAATATTTGAAATCAGGGCAGTCAGCCCTTGGTAATCTAAGCTGTCTGCTTCCTATATAGGAGGTCCCCTAATGATGTCTTTATGAAAGAGTATTTGGAGGAGAGAAAAGACCAGGATAGTTTGTCCTCGATCTATGTTCTACTCAAGAAGGCAGGACCAAATGGTGAAGGAGGGAAGGGAAAAAGTAAGGGTGAAAAGGGGTGAGTAAATAAAGTGAGGCTTCAATCATTGCCAAGGGGCAGGAATATGAATCTGAGGGGGGCAAGGACAGAAAAGCAGGAATTAGCTTGGAGCAGGAGCAAGAAACAGAGGTAGGCAGGCAGAGAAAGTACTAGAAAGGCTGCTGGGAAGCCCAAGAATGCCTTACTGTGACTCACACATTGGTGAGAAGTTGCAAATAGCCCTCAAGGGGAGATGGCTAAAGTAAGGAGGCCCTCCCTTTATTCCATCTTCTTTCCTTTAGCTCCTGGGCTTATACAATCAACAGTTTCAGGCCAGAGTAGAGACACCCCCGGTAGCAGCCCCAGTATTGTTAAGTCTGAACATTCCAGGTGCAGGTGGGAGTCCCAGGTGGGTCTGCCCAGCTTAGCTCAGCCCCCACTTCCATCTGGATCCCTGTACAGCTTGGAGTGACTTCTCAGGCCCTGGTAGCCAGGCTCCACCACATGTAGACTCCATGCTACAGATGCTTCTGGCCTAGCATTTGGTCAGGGGGAGCCAACAGAAAGCAAAGTGACTGAGTTTACTCCATATACGTCTTCTCCATTCCCAATTCATTCTCCAGATAGCTCCAAGGTTCTAGAGAAACAGTTTGAGAGAAGCCAACCCATGCAACTCAAAACCCACACCCACCCTAGCCCTGCCCCTTAAAGTCCAAGAATGAAGAAACAGTAGCCAATTAGAAGTGGCTGCTTGTATATTGAGATTTTTCTGGACTGAAGAGGTCATAGGATCATAGTTGTTGAGCTAGAAAGGATTGAGAGGCTGCCTAGTCTAATCCCCTCATTTAGGGTTCACCCTCTCATTTAGAATTTGTAGGATCCTGGGTTCATACACTTGGATTTAGAAGGGACCTCAGAGGCCATCCACCCCAATCCCTTTATTTATAATGCATGAAACTGATGCCTAGGAGGTAGCTCCAGTGGAGGGCAGACTAGATGAAGAGCGGGACCTTGAGTCAGGAAGTGGGAGGTGCTGAGGTAGAGTATAAGCATTTATTAAGTACCTGCTATATACCAGATACTGTGCTAAGCACTTTACCAGCATTATCTCATTTGATTCTCATAACAGCCCTGGGATGTACGTTCTATTACCATCCCTATTTTACAGTTGAGGAAATTGAGGCAGCTAGGGTAAGTGTCTGAAGCCAGATTTTAATTCAGGTATTTTGTAGCCTCCATATTCCAGTGCTCTATTTAATTCATTTGAAGGTATCATTGTTTAAAATTCAATTTTACTTTATTTTGGGGGCTAGATTCCCTCCCTCCCACTTCCCCTTCCTCCTTACCCCATTAAGAAAGCAAGAAAAACAAAACCTACCACAAAAATGTATAGTGAAGCAAAACAATTTCTTAAATCGGCCACATCCCAAAAAAGAAATGTCTTAATCTGCACTCTTGTTCCATCACCTCTCTACCTGGAGGTGGGTAGTATGTTTAATCATGATTTAAGTTATCATTTTTAGCCTTATCCTATAGAACATATTTTAACAGTGTTTATTTTTAAAATAGCTATGATTCACTGCTGTCAGCAACTTTCTTCCTCCTCAGATGGAGATCTCAACTGTTAATGCCTCAGGAGATAGCTTCATAAATTGCTGTGACCTGCCCTTCTCCCCTACAGCCTTAATTAGCAGGACAATTCTCCTCTGAATGCAGTTTGCCACTGGGTCCATGTTTGAAAATTTTCAGTTTGCAAACCGTGCCAGAGACTGTGGTCTATGGGCTCAGCCAGTGATGATCCAGAATGCCCTCCACACCAAGATAAGTCGTCCAAAAACTTGAATAGATATTTCAAGGCACTGGTCCACCTTAAATAAATAAATGATAAAGTGATTGAGTACATAGGAGCTTCACCTTTCTCTTTCTGTTGCAACTCCAGGAGTGGCAAAACAGATCTGGCTGCTATCTATTATGAGCGCATTGATGTAGAAGGGCACCATTATGGTCCTTCATCGACTCAGAGGAAAAATGCCCTTAGAGCTGTGGATACCATCCTACAACATATGCTCAAGTGGATCCAGGTGACCTAAAGCAAGGAAAAAAATGTGTGTCAGCTGTCCTGCCTTTCTTTCTCCTTCCTCTCTCTTTTGTCTTCTTGACTGTCCCATTCCTTCAAGGCAGTCCCTCTCATTATTAGCTCCCTACAAGGTAAGTGTTAAAGCAACAAAAGCCCGCATGTGCATGCTGGTGGGTTGCATGCTATCTCTTAGCTGCATCTTTGATGGTTTTCTTTCCTTCTTTCAAGGGATGAAGCCCCAGGAAGCAAAAGGCTGTTGACATCCAGTCATAGCCACAATATTGACATAAGCTTGAGCTATATTATTCTAAGACTTCACCAAGAGACCTGGATCAGAGCTCCAGAATCCTACTATTATGGGCAGCCCGATTGGTCTAGTATCCTGGGAAGCTCATAGGACTGGTAGTCAGTAGACATGGATTCTCCTCCCAACTCCATCATTCACTAGCTGTGTTACCTTAGAGCAACCCCCTCACCCCCTTTACATATGCCTCATTTCTGCAACTGTCAATCTGGGATAATGATATCTGCGTATGGATTTGTTGAGATTTGTCAAAGTTCTTTGACGTGATAAGAGATATTTCAAAGCTTTTTGAAAAGAAAAAAAAAGCACTAAGCCAAAATTGTTTAAATCAGCCAGTGAATAAAAATTTATTAAATACCTTCTGTCTACCAGGCACAGTGCTAAGTGTGCTAAGGATATTTAAAATGTGGGGCAAAAGACAGATTCCAGGCTCACAGACTAATGGGGGAAAAAAACATGTACAATGTGTGTTCATATGTATGTGTCTGCATGCATATATGTATATGCATGGATGTGTTCATACATGTATATTTATATGTGCATGTATATATGTATATGCATGTATGTGCATTGTTTGTTTATACATAGCGATGTATATGTGTGTATATATGTATATACACATACATACACACATATACCCATATGTATATGTATATATATATATATATATATATATATATAATATATATAGGATAAATAGGAGATCATTAATAGAGGGAAGGCACTAACATTAAGGAGGATCAAGATAAGCATCTCAAACTTCTTGGTCTAAAGATCATTTTATACTCACTTTCCCCCCAGTATACCACATGGAGATTTTTATTAATTTTTTAATTCTTAAATATTTTATTTTTTCCAATTACATGTAAAAATTTTTAACATTGGTTTTTTTAAAATGTTGATTTCAAATTCTCTCCCTCCTTCCCTTCCTCCACTTCCCCCTCACTGAAAGGCAAAAAATTTGATATAGTTATACATGTGTAGTCGTGTAAAACATATTCCCATATTAGTCATGTCCATTTTATACTCTTAAACATTATTGAGGAACCCAAAGAGATTTAATGTGGGTTTTACCTATTGATATTCACTATTTTAGAAATTAAAATGTCTTAGCATTACTATGAAAATAATCTTGACTTCTCAGAATCCCTGAAAGCATCTTAGGAACTTCTGAGGGTCCTTGGACCACACTTTGAAAACCACTTGTTTAAAGTAATTGGCCTCAGATCTGTGTTTCCATATTATACATGTCATAGTGTTACCATGAGTGATTTTGAGCTGTGACTCAACAGGTGACCTTGTTTGGTTGTTTTTTAGAGAAAATCCATGACATAGACTAGTAATGCCCCATAATTTATAGTTAGGAAAACTTTTTAGAAGAAACAATTTATTCTTTGTCTCCTGCATATCAATAGAACACTAAAATCAGAATTAAGAAAATCTTACAGAATTTCAAGGAGAGAGAAGATCTTTCTCTTCTGATTATAACCATTGTCTCCATCAATTCAACAGGAGAGGGGTCTGCAAGATACCCTCGATATCATTCTCTTCTCCGATCACGGAATGACCGACATTTTCTGGATGGACAAAGTGATTGAGTTGCAAGACCACATCAACCTGAGTGATCTGCTGCAAATGAAGGACCGGGGTCCTGTTGTGAGCCTTTGGCCAGTGCCTGGGAAACATTCAGAGGCAAGAAGTATTGTATCAATGGCAGGGCGGAAGGGTTGCAGAGAGATTCTCTTTTACTACTTAATTCTCATTATTTCTGATAGTAAGGTACTTGGGGGCGGAGGGACGCAAATGGGTTATATCCTAGGGATTAGTCTTCAAGCTGCATCAGTATCTGGACAAGGAAGAGGAGGCATTTGAGTTGGCTTCATGCTTTATTCAGTACTGGTACACAATAGTCAAACTAGCCCATTTTGTGTGTGGGGGGTCACTAGAGGAAGTTGGAATATTCTGCCTAGAGAAGAAAAGATCTGGGCAAGGTGGAAGGAGGGCACGAAAACTGCTTTAAAATAGGTGAATGAAGTGATGTAAAAGACAGATTAGACTTTTTTGGTTTGGAACCAGAGAGGGCAGAACTAGAGGCAATGGGTGGAAGTTGGAGGGAGACAAATTTTGATTGACTATGAAGAAAAAACTTCCTAACAATTAGAGCTGTCCAGAAGTGGAGTGGGCTGCCTTGGGAGGTGCTATTGAGCTGAGAGAGGTATTTAAGTAATACCTGGATGACCTCTTATCCAGGGTATTGTAGAAGAGATCCCTGTTCAGGCATGGACAATATCAAATAACCTCTGAGGTCTCTTTTAATTTTGAGATCCGACGATTCTGTGTGATAAACACACAAGTTGCCTCTTGAAGGAGTTGCATTCTACAATTCTGTAATGCTCTGCTTCTCTTATTAATCCACTTATTTTAGCTGGTACTGCCTGGTTTAAAAATAATTAGAAATAATGGACTCACTTACATGGCTGACTAATTTTATGTCAGCAGTTGAATAATGGTCCCTCCAACCAAAGAAAGGCATTTTAGGGTTTTGCGATCTCATTTGGAAAGTGGTATAAAGGCTGTCATTGGAGGACCTTTGGTGTCCGCCTGGCACCCAGCTCGCATCTGTGGCTCCAAGATTAGCTGTAGCATGCATAGCAGCCATGCCCCACTAAGCTATCTCAGCAGACAGGCTAAACCAGGTAAAGGGTAACCAATAGAGATTAAACCCATTAGTGAGTTAGGGGGATGTCTTCATAAAGCAGGTGAAAACTTCCCCTGTCAGAATGGACAAACGAGAATAGTTTGTTCCAATGGCCATGAAAGTGGCTGAAGCAGGTGCCATGGAGTGCTTACAGCTTGGTCAGATGGCAAGGACACCAAGGTCATCCACTGTATCTTGGGGCCATCGCCAGTCATCTTGACTTTTGTCCTGCCACTGGACTTCGATGACTCAGGAAAAGTGAGACTCATGACTTTGTGCAGTTCTGCCTCACTTAAGTCCAATTCATATGCAAGTCAAGATATCACCTGTGATGTCAACAAAGACTGGAAGGAATGGATTACTACCATGATGAGACGAAAGAATAACTGATAGATATCTTGTTTGCTTCATCGAATTCCACGTCTTGTCAAGAGAATGGAAGAAAAGCAGATTTATGGGGCAACAGGAATAGGTGTCACCCAGAGTGGGCAGGTATAGATAGCTTGTGATTTCTTTTAGTGGAGGGAGAGTAAGTACACTGATGTGATCACAGATGCATTGGATTATTGGACTGACTACCTACCAATTTGTAAATGGACCAGTGACCATTAGCTGCCCCTATGAGTCTTACCCTTACTGCAGCTGCCAGTCTGGGGGACATTTCCATGTATAAAAAACAAGCAGACTGGAATAATAACTGTATCCACCAATGGGATATTTTGAGATAACCACATACAATCCTCCAGATTTGGAGGAGACCCTAAAGGCCATCTTATCTACCCCAAACAGGAATCCCCTCTACAACACCCTTGGTGAATAGCCATCCAGTCTATGCTTGAACTCTGTCAGTGAGGGGGAACATGCTACCTTCCAAGATAGTAATATATTCCACTTGGGGATGGTCCTAATTATTAGGAAGCTTTTCTTCATATTCAATCAAAATTTATCTCTCTGACACTTCTTCCATTGCTTCTACTTCTGCCTTCTGGAAGACAAGTAGAAGATACCTAATTCCCCAGTGACAGCCCCAGTCCACCCTAATCCACCCCCCCCACTTGCCCTCTCCCCTCAGTCTTCTTTTCTTTAAATACTCAGTTTTCTAACTGATCCTCATAGAAGCATCTAGGTTGCACAGTAGGACATGTGAACAGAAATTAGGAAGACCTGAGTTCAAATCTAGACTCAATCACTTATTAGCTGTTTGACCCTGGACAAATCACTTAATTCCTTCCTGACTCAGTTTCCTACCTACCTCTCAGGGTTATCGTGAGGATCAAATGAGAAAAAAACTTGTAAAGCTTTTTGCAAATTTCAAAGCACTATACAAATGCTTCTCATCCTCCTCATTGTCTTCTTCCTCCTCCTCCTCCTTCCTCTTCTTCTTCTTCTTCTTCTCCTCCTCATCTTCCTCCTCTTCCTCCTCCTCCTCCTGCTTCTTCTTCTTATTATTAATATTACTATCATTACTAGTCCTCATCATTCTGGTCTTCTTCCTCTCGATGCTCTAAGGTTTTTCAGTGTCCTTCTGAAGATGTGGTGCCCAGCAATGAACACAATGCTCCAAACGTGGTCTAACTGGGGCAAAGTTACAGGTGTACAATTACCTACTTCTTGTGGGCCACAGCATGTACCAAGACAAAGATGGAAGAAATAGGTTGCCTGCTGCGTAGATTTTGCTTCAGACACAAGTGCATTTGTACCAAATGAGATGAGGCCTTTGCTACCAACCCCTCTACCTCCTGCTGTACAGTCAGCTTCTCTTAGAAATGTGTCAGGCAGCTGCTCAAAACCATTGCTCATCATAAAACACACTTTAAAACTTTAAAGACTATTGGCACATCTTATGAACTTCATTTCAACAAGGAAAAAAGCCTCAAGCCTGGTAGACAGAGACCACCATAAACCCAGAGAGCGTAAGGAGGATTTAATGACACCTTTGAAAAGTAAATGAGAGAAACAAAGATATTCATAAATAAACCTCCATCCAAAACCCAAGTCAGGCATCTTTGCCAAAAGGCATTGTCTTCCACACATAAAAAGTTACAAGTTCAAGAGCTTATGAAACAGAATTTTATGTTGCATGTCTAAGGAAAACCCAAGGACTGTATGCTGAAAATCTCCATTTTAGTTAAAGAAGACTTCCTATTTAAATTGAAGTCATTTGAAAAAGCTGAAAAATAAATCCCCTCTTTATGGGAGTTTTATTAAATTTTTTGCAGTTTTCCAACAGAGATTTTTATATGAAGATATATGCTATGAGTTCATTTGATTTCTTTCCTATCCCCACCACGGGCAGAGATTTCCATTTAGTGCTCTTGTAACTACCTAGGCCAAAATTCTCCTCTCTGGTCACCATTTTCCCATACATGCTGTACCTTCCTACTAGAATATAAGCTCCCTGAGGACAAGGAATGTCTCACTCATACTTGTATTGCCAATATCTAGTGCAGAGCCTGGAACATGGTGGGAGTTTAATTAATCAGACAGCAAACAGTTATTAAGCATCAAATGTATGCCAGACACTGTGCTAAGCACTGAATAGGTTTTGGGGACACCATTCCTCCTGTTTTTCCTCCTACCCACCTGACCATTCTTTCTCAGTCTTCTTTGCTGGATCCTCATCCGGAGAACCCCCTCCAATCATAGGTGTCTCATGGGGTTCCATACTTGGTCTTCTTCTCCCTCTATACTACTTTACTTGGCAATCTCATTAGCTCCCGTGGATTTAGTTACCATCTCTATGCTGATCTTTTCCCATCTCTCATCTCCAACTGCCTTGTAGACATCTCAGTCTGGATGCGCAGTAGACCTCTTAAACGCAATACGTCCAAAATAGAACTTATTATTTTCCCCTCTAAAGTCCCTCCCATTCCTACCTTGTCCATCACTGTAGAGGACAACATCATCTTCCCAGTCCTTAGAATAGCAACCTAGGAGTCATCCTTGCCTCCTTACTAAATCTCACCCCTCCATATCCAATCTGTCGCCAAGACCTGCTGATTTTTGCCTTTGCAACATCTCTCAAATAAGCCCCTTTGTCTCCTTTGACACTGCCACCACGTTGGTTCAGGCCCTCCTCACCTCACATCTAGACTACTGCAATGATCTGCTGGTGGATTTGACCCCCTCAGGTCACTCCCCACTCCAATCTCTCCTCCAGTCAGCCACCAAAGTGATTTTCCCAAAGTTCAGGCTAAACCACGTCACTCCCCTACTCAATAAAATCCAGTGGCTCCATATCACTTCCAGGATCAGATACAAAATTCTCTGGCCTTAATAATCTGGCCCTTTTCTAATCAACACAATCATAGAGCAGAAAGTATAACCATTTACAATCTTCAATTGTGTGGATGATATACTCTCGTATAGACCAACTGAATGAACTAAGGCAGGCCCTGGTGTGTATGTGTGCATATACATACACACACACACACATATATACACAAATGCATATATACATATACACACAAACATATATATGCACATAAACATGTACACACACACACATATATACACAAATGCATGTATACATATACACACAAACATATATATGCACATAAACATGTACACACACACACACACACACATAAAATTAGGAGGGCATAAGTCACCCGCACCTTCATCCAAATAAGCAAGAAAACCCTTCCTCTTTCCTGTCCTAGGTGTACCTATGCTTCAGTTGAGAAGGTCCCTCAGCACCACCACACCTTCTTGTGCCCCAATGGTAGAAACAACTTTCTCACAGACTTTACAAATGGCATCTTCTTTAGTGGGTCCTTTGCACCATTAGCCAGATTGAGAGGATCCAGCTAAGAGTAAGATCATCCAGTTTAGAACCTCAATTGTTTATTAAAAACCAGGGACAATTTAACACATTAATCTTGGGTTTCCTTGGCAGGTAGCTCACAAACTGAAGTTGGTGGAACACATGACTGTTTACGAGAAAGAGGCAATTCCCACCAGGTTTCATTACAAGAAAGGAAAATTTGTGTCTCCTCTGACGTTAGTGGCTGACGAAGGATGGTTTATCACTGAGGTAAAGTATGGACATTATGCTAAGGATAAATAGTAAAAATTATTCAGTGCCTTAAAAGTCTGTGGTTAATGAGTAATATGGAATTATGTTTTACGTGATTGCATATATATAACCTATATATATATTACCTTTCTAGGGAGGGAGAAGGGGAGGGAAGAAGGGAGAAGGAGAAGGAGGGAGGAAATTTAGAATTCAAATTTTAAAAAATGAATGTCAAAAATTGTCTTTAGGGGCAGCTAGGTAGTGCAGTGGATAGAACACTGGCCCTGGAGTCAGGAGGATCTGAGTTTAAATCTAGTCTCACTTGACATTTACTAGGTGTGTGACCCTAGGCAAGTCACTTAACCCTAATTGCCTCTCAAAAAAAAAGTCTTTACAAGTAATTGGAAAAAATTAAATCTAGTTACAAATAAATAAGATGCTTGCTAATACCCCACCCCTCCGCAAAGTATGTGGTTAAGCTCTCCCTCCTCTGCCACCGCATGCCAAGGACCAAGCAAACACCAGGTAGAGGAAGGACAATCCCTGCCTTGAGAGGTGGGGTACAAATATGGACTCAAAAAACCATAAAACAAAAGGCAAGCCTAGGCCAGTACCAGGACTTCTTCAGAGTACCTGAACCCCAGGGGTTAGGATCAAAACCCAGTTGAAGGGATTCAGTACCCAACTGTGGCCAGAGTTGGGACCAGCTCTTTGATCAGTACAAGGAGTTCCCAGGAAAGAACTTGCCAAACAGATTGGGTTCTTTCTTTGAAAGTCACTGAGATGTTGTCATATGTCCAGGGCCAGATGCTGAATTTGAACTCAGCTCATACTGACCCCCAGTCTGACTCTCTATTCACTGAGGGGCCACATTACAGCCCTGTAACACTCCCAAGAGCAGTCTAAACCAGACTAAAATGAAATTGGGAAATATTTAATAAAATATACGATAGAATTTAGATAATGTTATTATGTAGTTTTCTAAGTTGATATGCCGCCCACAGGGATCTTTAAAATGTAGGGTGTAGTGGCCCCTGTTTCTGTGTGAGTTTGACACCAGTATACCACCTTGATTAGGAGGCAAGATACAAAGTAGGGTTTGACAAGGCAGCTGACTATTTGTCTGACTCAACCTGTCTCCCCAAAGCTCTGATTTTTTTTTATTTTGCTTTTTTTTTCTGGTGAGGTGATGGGGTTAAGTGACTTGCCCAGGGTTACACAGCTAGTAAGTGTTAAGTGTCTGAGGCTGGATTTGAACTCAGGTCCTCCTAACTCCAAGGCCAGAGCTCTATTCACTGCACCACCTAGCTGCCCCCAAAGCTCTGATTTTTCTAAGATGGTTACTTGTGCTCCCCAGCCCTGACCTGAGGCCAGCTCTACCATGTCCCCACTTAACCTGGTATGGCTAGGTCACTGAGACAGGGAGCCTGAACAGGGATGAGGTTTGATAAATGTGACCAGGCCAGGTGCAATTTTTCAGGCTAGACAGGATTTTTACAGGATTAACAGGTTTCAAAATCTATTTCTAGGCTGTTTAAGGAGCTATTGTCGTTATGTGAAAACAATGACTAAGGAAATTCGTTGGTTTCTTTAAAGTGAATTTTTAAAAATTCTGAATTTAATGAGGGAAAAAGAGAGAAAGAAAATAAAAACATTTCCATATTGTTTCTTCTTAACATTTTTAAAGCACCTGCAATTTCCTGAGTATCCTACATATTGAGGAAGAAAATCATGTGCTTTAAGCTAACAAAATCCTAAAAACCCAAAGAACAGATATATGTGCAGACAGAGGACAGTAGATGGAACACTAAGCTTGAAGTCAGGAGGACTTAGGTTCATGGTCTACCTCAGACACTTCTTTTTTTTTTTTTTTGTGAGGCAATTGGGATTAAGTGTCCAGGGTCACACAGCTAGTGAGTGTTATATGTCTGAGGTCGGATTTGAACTCAGGTCCTCCTGACTCCAGGTCTGGTGCTCTATCCACTGTTCCACCTAGCTGCCCCCTCAGACACTTCTTAATGGTGGGACCTTGGGCAAGTCCTCTGGGCCTCATCTGTAAAATAAGAGGGTCGAACTAGCTGATCTAGCTGAAAAATGTATGATGCCATGAATCAAACGACAGGGCTATGAATTCAAGTTCTGCCATTTATGAGTTCTATAATCTTGAGCAAATCTCTTTGCCATAAAACCCAGTATGGGCCCTGGGCTCAGAGAATTCAAATCCCATCTCTGACGCTCACTGCCTGCATGACATTGGGCGAATCACTTAATGTCTGTGGCCCTCATTTTCCTCATCTGGAAGAACTGGACCACATGATTCTTTCTAGTTCTGGATTTATGGCCGTATGACTTCTCTGCACTCCATTTTCTTCAGTTGTTGAATCTGATAATTTGTTAGATCTCTTCCTGTTTGAAATCCTGTAATCACATAGGCATGCAGAGATGAGCCGTACATGCTTAATACATCCCACCTTTCTCTCTCCCTCTTCACTGCCCTCTTCTCCAAGGAAGTAAAGAGTGAGAAGAAATGAGGGCAAGGGAAAAATCCTGATGGCGTTTTATTCCTAAGACAGAAGTACGTTAAATAGTGATTTTTTAATGCAATCGAAATCCCACACAGAAGATAAACATGACAAACATTTTAAGTAAGCTGCCAACTTTAAAAAAAACACCTCACTAATTATTGACAATTACTTTAGTAGACGCTGTTATTTGCATCTGTCTTTCAGACTCCTTTTTTTGATGGTTTTTCCTGATAACCTCAACTATGTGGGAATTCTTTTATTTCCTCTTCCATAAATGTTTTATTTCCATTATTAGGAGCTAGTAAGGGAAATGATGCCTTGAGATCCTACTTTAATGAACTATTGAGGCTTTGTTTATTTTTCTGCTAAAAAATCTCAAGAAAGAGACCTTGAACACACTGTCTTTCCTTATTGGTTCAGACTTTCTCTTTGAAGTCTCTAGTGTTTATTATAGTTTCTTGGCTGCCAAAAACCGAAAACTCTCTCCTATATCCCTGGTCGCTGTTCTGTGCCAGGTCTATTAATCTCTCACATTCCTGTTTGCAAAATAGGCCCACAAATGGAAAAAGAATATTGCATATTGCTACTTAACCGACATGCCAGCCCATGTGATGAAGCCGTTTTGTTGGGCTGCACCTCACATCTGTGCACTCTCTCTCTTGAATGCATGGTCTCTCTGGTCTTGCATTAGCATGGTTAGCCGTGATTGCTTCCTGCTTTTGACATGATTAGAAAAACAGCTGAGTCAGTGACAGCTGATAGCGGTTGGTTGGGGCCAACTGTTGAAATCCCACAATTCTAGCTTGTTTACCCTCTTCTTCCCCAATACCTCCTCACTCTCCATCCCCCAGCCTTGCAAACCTTTAACATTTGGTCCCCTTCGTGCTGTTTTTGATGAACCCAGGCCCACTTTTATAATGGTGGAGCTCATAGTGGTGACAGTCCTATTCACAATCAGGAATGTTGAAAGTGACAAGCTTACTGTTCTGGTCCTAACGGTCAGAAACCTGTGTCCATTTTCTTCTTCTGTCTTTCTGAGCGCCATTAGTGAAGTAGTCGCAGAAAGGGAAGTGGGTTTTCATTTGTGAGAGAGAATTGTGCAGCAGTCCAGGGCACTGGCTGATAGTTACTTTTTGCCTTGTGAAAGTAAGGCAGAAAGGCAGTGCTATAGAGGATCTAGGCTTGAATCTCAGATCTGCCACTTGGACCATGGAATTCTAACAAGAGAAATGGAAGAAGCATTACATATCATCTTCTCCAACCCTCTCATTTTACAGATGAAAAACTGAGGCCCTGGGAGGTTAAGGGACTGAGATTAAGGAGCAAGGCAGGATTTGAACTCTGGTCCCCCGACTCCAAATTCAGTACTGCACAGGCTGCCATCTATGTAGGCTGGAAAGGACTAAAGTTTCATGAAAAACCAGTCTCTCCCTTCTTGATTTTTTCATATCATTTTGTCCGGATGACTCATTCTCTGACTCTCCCATCTGTTAGTTAGTTACCTGTGCATGTATTAGATTGTCAGCTCCTTGAAAACAGAACTTGCCTGTCTTTATATTTATAGGTCTTAAATCAAGTCTTGCATCTAGTAAGCAATGTCGAATGACATTGAAATTCTGGTGACTTCATTGTTGGGGCACTGGATTTATTTTTTTGAATCATAAAACCCAGCTACTAACCTGATAGTCTTAAAAAACAGAGCCTGACCACGTTACTTTCCCTCCACCTCCAACATTTTCAGCGGCTCCCTATTGCCCTTAAGGATAAAATGCAACATCTCCATCTGGGCTTTTTAAAGCCTTTGACAATCTGGCTCCTTTTCAGTCTTATTTCATAATATTCCTCTGCATGAACTCACTCTTCTTTCTCTTCCTTTCCATTCATATTGTCATGACAAAAATTCCAGACCTCCACTGCAGCCTGGCCTGCTAGCTATTAAGCATATGCACCATCTCATCTTTGGCCTTTCAGCCTTGGCATGGGCTGTCCCCCATGTCTGGAATGGCCTCCTGCCTCACCTCTGCCTGGTTTTCCTCCAAGACCAGCTCAGGTACTATTTCCTCTTTTTGTGGTTTCCGCAATCATTAGCATTCTTTCTTCTTTAAAAACACACTTTATATCATCAATCTGTATGTATTCTGAATATACTTGTTGATGAGAATGAAGCTCTTTGGGGGAAGGATCTCTCATTTTTTGTCTTGGAATCTCCAGTGCCAGATAATAATCAGTTAGTAAATGTTTTTCTAATTAGATTTATTGAACTGAAAAAATTTGAGGGAAATGGGACAACCAATCTCACTAGAATCCTCCAAAAGAAGTTTGGTTGTTTTTGGTTTTTTTAAATTTTATTTTGAAGAAAAAGTTTATTTTGAAAAGTGACAGGATAGATGAAATGTCAAGCTACATTCTGGGTACTTGGGCACCAACCCAAAACATAGGAGGAAATGGAGACAACAGGAAGATGTTAATGTCTGCTCTGTTCTGGTGAGACTC